CCTCCCGCTGCAGTCACTGACAGGGGTGGGTGCCAGCTGCACACCCAGCTGTGCAGCTGTACATCCATCTGTGCCCACCCTGTGCCCATCCCTGCCCCGCTGGACAGACCCTGGGGCAGCTCTCCCCTGTGGGTGCAGGGTTCAGGGGCTCATTGCTGTCGTGGCCTCAAAACTGCTCTGCCCTTGGTCTTCACATTCTTTGGTGTCAGGCTCCGTTTGCTGCTCCTGGAGCCTGAAGAGCTGATTTTTGCCAATGATCTCTAATTCTATTCTGATATAATAGAAGAATCTGAGCTTCATGTGCAGGGATTTCTACCTCTGTAGAGGAAAAAATCAGAACACACAAGCTAAATTACATGTTGCCATTCTCCACACGACCTTAATCAGAGGTCTCTCAATTCTTTTCTGATTTGACAGAAAGGTCTGAGCTTTATTTGCAGCAAGTTCTGATTTCACAGATGAAAATTGTCATGTGTGTGTTATGCTGGGTATTGTGCAAAAATATACAAATAAGGTCTTTGAAGTGAATTCATAAACGCAGCCCCTGACGTGGCCCTGGACTGCAGCTCTAATTAACACCAAATGCAGCCACGCTCGGTTTGATGTGGGAGAACAGACTTGGGTAGGCAGCAGGCTGAAGTCTCACCAACTAATTTCTCAGAAGTTATTAAAAATACTGGATCAGCACAGCAAAGCAGCCTGTAAAAACTCTATTATTGTAATAGGATAATGAAGTGAAGCTGGCTGCTTTCATGCAGCATTTACAGACTGATGGCTCTTTCCCTGTGACACAGAGGTGGGAAACAGCAGCTGGGTCCATCCCTCCTTGGAGCACAAAGCTTCAGGCCCAGCCATGTCCTGCCATGGACATGGATGCAACACTGCTGGGCAGCTCCAGCCTCACATTAAATATTTACATCAACAGAAGTTATGGCAGATTTCCCTTATAATTAATGTCTCATTTGGACTAAAGTGTACTTGTTGAGCACGAGTATGAGAAATCTGTCTTTGTCTTTACTAAGGGAAGGTCTTGGCACAGGGAAATCCCTTTCCCCTGTCCTGGCACAGGGAAATCCCTCTCCTTTGCTACAGCAATCTGATACAAATCTGCAGCTGTTTGGAAGTTCATCCTCAGGGCTAAAATACAATTTTTAGGTATATAAAGCAGGAAGGCACCAGTGTGCATGGGGCATGGGTTCTGGCATTCAGAGATTCTTGACAGGAGTGATCTCAGGGATTCTGGACAGGAATGATCTCAGGGGTCCTGGACAGGGGTGATCTCAGGTGCTTGGCTCTGGAAGGATTTCTTATCCCCTAGTTTAGAGCATCAAACAAGTGCTTAAGCTGGGAGCTGATTCTTCCAGTGGGGTTAAAAAGCTTCACAATCCAGTTCAAAGCAGGTTCTAAAGCTGCTGGCTGTAATTAAGCAGGAGGAATTCACACACACAGGGGCAGGACCAGCTCAAACAGAGAAAAGCAGCACAGAGATCCAGCCAGGAGAGCCAGAGCTCTGAGCCTGTAAAGGCATTGCTGACTCTACTCCATGTACAGGCTGCACTCTCTATAGATATAAATATAGAGGAATGTAGAGTTAATTCCAGTTTGGCATGTCTGATTAGATCCCATTCAGAGTTTGAAGCTGGTGGAACAGAAATCCTGGGGAAATACCAGATCCCTGGAAATCAGCAGCTGAATTCACCCTGAGTGCAATGGGAGCTGGGTTTCCTGGGGAGCTCTGAGTCCTGAACACCAATCCAGGGAAGGTTTTCTGCTGCCCCTCTGACTCCCAGCTCGCAGCCAAGTGATCCCAAACATCTGCCTGGTAAATTTTCTGATTTAAGTCTGAAATACTTGAATTCGATCTGCCTTGTCCTCCTGGCAAAAGCAGAGAGTAGCTTTAGGGCTGTCAAATTCCTTGTTTGCCTTGTCCCAGTGTGATCTGGGAGGGCAGATCCCTCTTTCCTATCCCTGCAGCTTCCAACATGGCAAAGCCAGGCTAATTTTGGTACAAATTACCAATCTCTGTCTTATTCCTCTTCCTTTGGGTGAGGAATGTAAATTATTGAGGTCCTGTGAAAATGCTCTAAAAGGTGCCTGGGAAGTGCCCCAGCAGTGTGAGGCTGTGGGGAGATCTCCTTGCTCTAAGATCTCTGGATTCCTTGGGAATGCATGGAGTAGGAGGCACAAAATCTGCCTAGAGCTAAATATTAGCAAATGCTAGAAAAAAAAATATCTAAAGAGAAATATTAGTGAATACTAATATTTAGAAAGGATTAATGCCAGCAATGCCCGAAGGGAAGGGCATTTCATTAATTCTCCTAATGAAAGGAGGCAGAGAAGACCTGAGCTGGGATGGTGCTGATCACCTCCCATCTCAGGAGGGCTCCTTTAACACACTGGGCAGCCCAGAATCAGATGCTTCTTAAATTGTTGGTTATTTTCAAATTTCTTTTTTTTCCTCCCCAAGGTTCATGCTGGCCAAATTTTGCTATGAGGGACATCGTTGCACTCTGATAACCTTCAGATTCTGCCTTTAGATGCTTTTGTGCAATCTCATCTTCTGATTTTCCTATTACTGGCAGGCGGGCAGGGCATGGTATTCAAATAAAATACTTGATATTTCCACTGATGCTGCACAGCCAGAATTAATCTCGCTGGTGCTGCAGTGGAAAACAACGGAGATAAGCAGCAAACCACTCGCTCTTGTGACTAAATTGAGCAACCCTGCTGGAATCCAGAGAGGGAGCAGCTCTGGGCTGCTGGAAGTGGCCCTTTTCCCGAGCCAATCAAGCTTTGTCCGGCCTCAGCAACAAAAGGTTGTGAGCAGGAAGGAAGTGCTGTGCTTGTGCAGCCCAGCCTTCCCAGGCTTTATCAGGTCTGCAGGAGCTCCAGATATCTCTCAGGACCACCGTGCAAAAGTGCAGGAAGTGCCTCGGCCTGACCTTTATCCACAATCAGAAGATTCCTTGGCAGAGCTTGTTTTTGCAGCCTCCACCTCAGGCATGCTGTGGAGCACTGGCTCTCCCTGGGGTTTGGGGATAGGTGGGAAACAGGAGCAGGCTGGGCACACACTGACATTCCTGGGGGGCCTGGGGCACCCCGAGAGCCACCTCAACACCCCAGCTCCTGAGCTCTGGCTGCCCTCCCACCTTCTCTGTCTCTCCATGGACAAAAGCCAGAGCCTGGGTTTTAATCCCTTCAACAACCAAATCCGGTCTGACCATCTCTGGCAACAATTTTCTGCAATGAATGGTCAATACTACAGGGATCAGGATGGGTTGCCACTACTGTGGAGCTGGTCTCTTTCCCTTTTTAGCTAAATTTAATTTCAAGTGCATGCAAGTGTGAGAGGGGAGGGAGAGAGTGGGACAATTTGATGCCTTAGAGAAGAAAACCACCATTTATTTTGTCTTTTTTTTTTTTTTTACATCATCTTCTTCATACAGCCGTTTCATTGTAACATTAATACATTTAAAAAAAAACAACCCACCAAGATAGCTTGCAAAATTATATATACTTTAATATCCAAAAAGTATATTGCATATATATAGTAGCAAAAGCCCCATTTCCATGGGTAATTCCTTCATATTTAAATTTTGCGATTATTGCAGAAATGTTGCTTAAAAACACCCCAAAAGCACTAAGACCTAACTGAATTAGCCTGATCTTTTCTTTGTTAAATAATGGCATCAGTGCTTGTGTTTAACGTTCTGAGCAGACTCCAATGCTCTGGATTCAGACTCCCCTCCTGCAATGGGATGCACATGGACCAAATCCCTCCCCACAGAGTCCCAGGGGTTGGCCTAGACTAGATAGTTGTGATCCTGTTAATTGGCTGCCACTTAATACAAGTCAGCTAATGGGTTGTACATGGAAATCTCACCCCCCAGACATCTGTTCCAAACCCCAAATGCTTGTGGTTTACCCTCTGTTTATGGCACCAAACCGCTGCTTCTGCAGCGTCACATTCACATCTGCAAAGCTGGGGATGGCTCAGAGTTCTGGAAAGGGTCGGATTTCCACAGAACCCCCCAGCAGAAGCCATCTAAAAAAGGGATATTTGGTTGTTTTATCTATGAAGTGGTTAAGATCTTCCCAAAGTTCAGGATTTGCATGAAAAGCGATCACAGAATATTGCAATGGTTGCCTTGAGATGTCGGGCCTGTTTTCAATCAGCCTCAATGCAAACATGGGAGTAAGTGGAGTTAATTTGCAGACAGCTACAACAGACTAATACAGAAAATCCTCTCCTCTAGACAAACCCAGGGCAATCTGGAGGGTTTCTGGCCACTTTGGGGGTCAGTCATGGATCCAAGTGCAGGACTAAGCCTACCTCCAACAGATACATTACTCGTGTCTTATTTTTTATTTTTTTTTAGCAAAAAGTACAAAGCTACAGCCCAAATGTACAGATTGAAAAGATGTACAAATTACATTAAAAAATAAACAAAAAACAACTGAGCTGATAGTAAAAAACAAACCTGCATTTGTGACCGAGGTCAACTCGTTTTATTTACTCTTTCTTTTAAAACTGTGAGATATAGGGAAAAATAACTCTGCATAATTTATACAGTAATTTGCCTTCTGGTTTGTTGACCCTTGGTTGGACGGTCTGACAAACGCACAGCGTTCGCGAATCGGTGCTTCCAGAGCCCGCGGCTCGGGCGGAGCCGGGGACCTGCTGTCGTTCATTCACTTCCCTTCTGTTCCCAGGAATGCCTGTGCTTGACTTTGCCTTATGCTTTGTTCAGGTTTCTGCTGCTTGCTGAGCTCACACACAGTCAAGTGAAGTTGTACTCTAGAAAAGTTCCTTCAATGCCCTTTACTTCTTAAAATATACATGTACATATATATATATGAATATATATATATATATTTAATTTCCAGTTGGATGAAATTCCTCCTCTGCCTTAGAGCTAAGATTCCAGTTGTGGTCCCAATGTCCTCCACTGAATGGTCAAATGGCCAGTGAGAAAAACCCCATTGTGGTCATCTTTTCCTATGACCCATTTCTGGATCTATGCCTTGTCAAAAGCCTTTGAATCCTTACAAATTGCTCTCATCCAAAAGGTAATAATCATTCCAGGGAATGGTGAACCATTTTCACTGTCACTTCCTACAGAGGACACAAGCCTTAAACCCCAAGGAAAATGCAGAGTACTGGCCCACAGGAGCTTCCATCTCTCAGTTCAAGACACAAGAGGCAAAGTTACAAAAGTAAAAGGTTTGGTCCAGGAATAACAAATATCCAGTTTTAATTCTTCCCCAGAAAGGCCACAATCATCCATTAAGGGTCCCCCCAAAAACCATACAAATCCCAGGAGTGAAGAAAAAGTCCAAACAGACTGCTCAAGGCCACTGGCAGATCAAAGCATTTAGTAATAGCTGCCCAAGTGCGGTGTGACGTGGGCGTTGGGGTGGCGGGGCACATTGGGGTTGGGGTAAATGCTTCCTGCAGGGGAGGTCCAATAGGGGGAGGCCGCTCCGAAGAAACTGGACGATGTGACAGGCATGGAGGAGGGGTGTGGGGGCACAAAGTTCACCTTCTGCTGGTGGGCATGGTAGGACGGCATGTAGGACAGATCCGAGGGGTACTTGTACATGGAGGACTCGGTGGGGTGCGGCTGCAGGGCCTGGGCGATGCCGTGAAAGTCAAATTTGTAGGCGTAGCGCTTGCCGTGCACCTTGGTCATAATGTTCTTGTCGTAGTAGTAGCGCAGCGCCCGGCTCAGCTTGTCGTAATTCATGTTGGGCTTGCTCTTCCTCTCGCCCCAGCGCCGCGCCACCTCGTCGGGGTCCGTCATCTTGAACTCGCCGTTGGTGCCCTCCCAGGTGATGCAGCTGGCGTTGGAGCTGTCCGACAGCAGCTCCAGCAGGAACTGCCACAGCTGGATCTGCCCGCTGCCTGCAGACACAGCAGGGCAAAGGAAATGACTCGGGCCTTCCTGCTCGGGCTCACACAAAGGCAGGAAACAGAAGGGCTATCTCGATCTGACTGGGAACTGCTCCTCAGGGCCTTGGAAAGGCGGCCCTAGCAGGGGATAAACTGTTCCCAGCAAACAAGTTACTCAGCCCTTTGTTCTGGGCCTGGGCCTGAGGTCACACTACATTTCATAATGGTTGCCTTTGGCCTTAAAATCCTCGGGCTGTTCATAAACAGGGCTTGCTGTGAGGACACTGCTCTGCAGAGTTTTCACTGACTGCCTAGCACAGCGTACTTCACCCCTGCACTGCTCCCTGTTTGCCATGGAGATTGTTTTGGATACCTCCAGCTCTTTCCAGGGGGTGATCTGAGTTACACGGGATGATTTGTTCCCCAGATGACTCCTGGTTTTACTCAGTGTAGTTGTACAAGTAGTTAAGGGTACGTTAAGAGCCTTAGGGGGATGTTTCCTTACAGGCATCCCATGTGTACAAGTTTGGTTAGTTCAAGCAGGATTTGCTCCAGGCAAATTACTCCCTAAAATCAGGGATTATTTACTGCAGATGATGTGCTAGGGACAGTTACACTGTCACTTTCAGAGATGTTTTCTGCCTTTCTTTTTGTAACCCACAGCAGGCAGTGAAAAATTAATCTGTACTGCAAATTTGAGAGACCAGCACTTAAACCCCCTATAAAACTCTTCTCAGGAATTGCTGGGTTTGGATCAGAACATCCAAGATGGGGATTTTGTCCCAACAGAGATGTTGTTGCACCATTTTCCTCACTTTTCTGTAAGGATTTTGGCAAAAGCCCTTGTGAGGTCACAGCTGCTGTGTTCAGTGGCTCTCGGGTCCCCCCAGGGGTGCAGGGGCAGCAGCTGCTCCCCCAGTGCAGGCTGGAGCAGCAGCTCCAAAGGAAAATTCCTCTTTGGTAAGGGGGGTCTGAAATGTAAAATGAACTCACCTGGATTGGCAAGACGGCTGCTGGTGGGCCCCAGGATTTGGTAGGGATCTAAAAAATAAAATTAAGAACAAAAAAAAAAAAAATCACCCAAGAAAATTTAAAGGATGTTTCATCAAACAGAAACTCCAGGTCATTATGATTGTTCTAGAAACCAAATTTTCTTTTTCTTTCTTTACTCCTTCTGTCCCTTCTCCCAGAGCCTGGAGGTGCTCCTTCTTTCTTTCTTAGCAAACAAGCACCAGGTATTTCTGGCATCCAAAGTGGCACAGCCACAGTTCCTGGCACTGCCACCATTATTTTTGGCATCCAAAATGGCACAGCCACAGCTCCTGGCACTGCTCTCAGACCTGCCTGCTTTTGCAGTCTGGGATCATCTTGGTCCTACCCTGCACTGTGCAGCAACCAGAGCACATCAAACGTGGAAAAAGCCTGTGTGACAGGAGAACAGCCACAAAGCAGAAGCAAAAGTATTCCTCCTAACAAAAAAGAGCTCAATAAAAAAGGGAGCAGATGAGATTTTCAGATTCACTGGTTAGCAGCTGAGCTTGCAGCCCTGGGAGGGCAGGAAATGTTCACCCAAGTCTCTCTTTGTGAAGCAAACACAGCATTAGAGAGATGAGAGCAACAGGAGTTTGTGGCTGGCTCCACCAAGGCTGAGTGGTTCTTGAAAACCCCACAAAGCATTTATTAGGAATGAATTCCTTCCCTTTCTGTGGGGCCTCCTCAGCCCTAATCTCTACACTTGTGCTCTGCCTCTCTCTGCTTGTGGTGATTTGGATCTGCAGTTTGCTGGTGGATTGAACAGGTTCCAAGAGAGCCAAGCCTGGAGCAGAGGAAGGGGATGGGGAGCAGCTGTGCTGGGCAGGGAGGGTGGGGAG